GGATATTTGCACTAGAATGTTTATCACAGCTCAATTCACAATTGCCAAGATGCAGAATCAACCCAAGTGCCCATCAACACATGAATGAATTAATAAACTGTGGTATATGTATACCACATATAACTAAATTTATATGTATATTACTAAACTAAAATTATATGTATATTTATATTCAGCCATAAAAAGATGGAGACTTTGCATCTTTTGTATTAACCTGGATGGAGCTGAATAACAAAAATGGAAAAGCAAGTATCCAGTATACAAAATCAATAGATAAACCACTACACTGAGAGAAAACATAATTAAATTCGAGTGGGGGGGAGGGGAGAGAAGGGGAAAGGGAGAAATGAGGATGGAGAGGGATTGGTGTGATCTCACCTAATGGGCACAATGTAAGGATATACAGCACACCCCCTGGGTGAAGGGCTCAACTACAACTTGGATTTTACTGAACAGAAGCAGTGTAACCTAATTGTTTGTACATATTAATCTGAAATTAAAAAAACTCACAAATATAAAAAGCCAAATTTACTCTGAATTTAAGCATTTTCACATCTGTGTATTTGAATCATTCATAGGCTTAAAGATTCCTCACATCTTACTCAAATCCTAGTTACTGAAATTTTTTCTTATGAGTCTTAGAAGTAGGCATGGTAGTTTGGAAAGCCTTTAACCAGTGCTAGGGAGAATATGAAAATTGCCTTTGTAGTTTTGCCAATATTTTCATTTTAAGGAAATTTGAAACCTGGTGGGTTTTTAGTCATGTAAAGAACTGGTATTATCAGCTAGAGTAAAAATCCAGGCCTCTTGACTGTTGTATGGTGTTCTTTCTACTACAGCTTAATACCAGAACAAAGACAAAATCTTTGTAACAGTATAAAAAGAATCAGTATTTAAAAATCTAATAAATTATGGGATGATTATTTGTACTATGAAACATTCATCCCAAGAATTATTTAATAATAAGTTGAAGTTATACATGTAACTTTTCATATAAATTATAAATTCATACACTTAAACAACTTCACAAATAACTTAGGGGGCAACATCTAATTTGTAAATTAATACTTAAACATGTTTAATAATTTCTTTACAAATTCTAAATTGCTTAGCTTTGGTGTATTGCAGTTGCTGGAACCTTTAGATGTGCACTACTTCTATTAATAGCTCCTGCCTGTTAAGGTTTTCATGTGTTCTGGCTAAGCTCTTTGTCTTGATTTTCTCATTGAATCCTTAACAACAATCATAAGTGGTAGGTATTCTCATTATGTGAAAGCTGACCTGAGAAATGTCATCAACTTGGAAAAGGCTGCATGCACAAACAGGGCGGATTTAAAATCAAGACTATTTGATCCCAGAGTCTTTGCTTTGCACGACTATGCTCTTTTATCACTATTTAAAACTTTGTAATATAGTAATTTTTAATAAATCTCATTTTGATCCTATTTGCTTCATTTTGTATTAATAATGATGTATCTTTTGCTTCATCTTTCCGTTGATAATCATACATCTTTGGGGGTTGAGTGTGATATTTTGATATTTTGATACTTGCATGCAATATATAATGATCAAATTAGGATAATTAGGATATCCATCACTTTAAACATTTATATTTTCTCTATGTTTGGAACATTGCAATTCTTCTTTAAGCTATTTTGAACTCTCCAGTATGTTTTTGTTAACTATGCTCAACTATACTGTCAAACACCAGATCTTAGTCCTTCTATTTGTACCCCCATTAACCAACCTATTGTTAGAAACATCTTTATTCATTTATTTTTTGGTTTTATTTTTTTTTTGAGGCAGAGTCTCACTTTCTTGCCTGGGGAAGAGTGCTGTGATGTTATAGGTCACAGCAACCTCAAACTCTTGGGCTTAAGTGATCCTCTTGCCTCAGCTTTCCAAGTAGCTGGGATTGCAGGCATCTGCCACAACACCTGGCTATTTTTAGAGATGAGGTCTCCCTCTTGCTCAGGCTGGTCTCAAACTCCTGAGCTCAAGCAATTCACCCTTCTTGGCCTTCCAGAGTGCTTGGGATTACAGGTGTGAGTCACCACGCCCTGCCTAAAGATTTCTTTAAAGTGAGTTTGGTTAATGGGTCTCTTACTTCATTTTGAATTTAAATCCAATATAGATATGTCATATTTAGTGTGATTTTGTTATGTCATTGACATTGATGAGGTTGCTGAAACGTCCTCCAGTCAAAAAATGGACCACTCCTTATGATTCTTTTCCAGATTTATGTGAATTGCTTACTAATTCATGGGGGTTTGTATTTTACATTTAAATGTAGGAACTATTGAAGATAACCATTATGACTATTTTGTTGAGTACTGTAATGCAAAACATTTATAAATGACAAGTAGCTAAAAGTAGATAAATCTTAGCTATTTTAAATTGAAACTACCAGAATATTTCATAACACCTTACCAAATATAAATTAGGTACTCTATTATTAACTATTTTAAGCTGTGGATGATATTGTAATCCTTTGTCACCTGCTTTTTTTCTTCATTTATTTATTTATTGCTGTTTTTGGCCCAGGGCTGGGTTTGAACCTGCCACATCTGGCATATGGGACCAGCACCCTACTCCTTTGAACCACAGGCACCGCCCACCTGCTTTTCTTCTGAAAAATTTATGCAAACTACATTTTCTCTCTTTCATGACTTTTTCCCCCCCTTTGCCTACATTTGGAATTAGAGAAATTAAGCTAAGTCTGTTTTATGGAATGCTAGCCATAGTGTCCTTTGTTAACTAGTTATAGATTTCACTTTTTAGGAGTATGTCAGTGATATTAAAGGAATATTTTAGGATTTTTCACAGAATAAGTGCACATTCAGAGGAAGCAGTCTGAAGTCTGTTCAAGAAGTAAAAAGATGATAGCTATTTTTAATATAGTCTAATAAATGGTATATAAAGAAAAGCTTTTTTTAATCTTGAAGAAAAATTTCGCTTTTTGAGTTATGTTTTACCTGAAAATTGACTAAAATAATTTATAGTATTTGATACCTTATTTTTTAAATTAACAGTTTAAACTACCAAATCTCAATATGATTTCATTGATCTGAGTACTTCACAGAATTTAATGGTTTTCCTAATGTGTAACCACCTATAAAGGTGTTTCCTGTGACTTAAAAATGATTAAATGACCAGCTAATTTGTAAGAGATGTTAGGATATGATTACCTCAGGTAATATCTGAAATTTTCAATATAAATTGCACAGATACTAACAAAACATAAAGACGGTTCCACTGATATAATGATAATGTACGTATAATTTGTAATTGTAATGGCTAATAGAACATTAGTTAGTCTCAGTAATTATAGCTTAAATAATTTGAAAATAGTTATATGAAAACAGTCATTTGAAATATTTATTCAATAAATGTGAACTATTGATTTATAGACATTGTCTTATTTAATCCTCCTCATAATAATTCTGTTAGTTGAGAATATTATTATTCTAATTTTATAGATAAAATAACAGGTTTGTCCAAGATAAGTAACCCATGAAGTCATGTAGGCAGAGCCAGGGCTCCAAACAAACCTTTCTGACCATAGGGCCTGGGTTCTTAGCTAGAAGACTAGATTATGGGGAACCGAGATTTAACACTAGGGCTCTAAATTACAATAAACCTTTCATGAAAGTCTTTAACCTGTCAAATAGAATCCAAGTATTTTGCTAACCCTGCCAATTAAAATATAACTCCTTTAGCTTTATCCCATTAATTCAGGATTTCTTATAAGTTAATGTAGTATGTAGAATTAAAAAGTTACAAGGACCAGGCATGGTGACTCATGCCTGTAATCCTAGTACTCTGGAAGGCCGAGGCAGGACTATCACTTGAGGCCAGTTGTTCAAAACCAGCCTGAGCAACATAGCGAGACCCTGCCTCTACAAAAAGAAGGACATTAGCTGGGTGTGGTGGCACGTACCTATAGCACCAACTACTCAGGAGGCTAGGGCAGGAAGATCATTTAAGTCCACAAAATTGAGGTTATAGTGAGCTCTGATGTCACTGCTGCATTCTAGCCTAGGCAACAGAACAGACCAGACGCTGTCTCAAAAAAAAAGTTATAAGGGCTTCTTTATTTGAGATTTTACCACTGACATTCAAGCAAGATATTGGTGGGAATGGAGAACAATATTATTTAATTTTATGTTATCAAATGTGGGTCATGAAACTTTTTCTATAAAGGGCAAGATAGTAAGTATGGTGAATAGCTGTGAGGGCCATATGGTCTCAACTCTTTGAAAGCAGCCATAGACAATATGTAAACAAAAGAAGGGAACTGTGGTCCAATAAAACTACAAAAACAGGCAGCAGCTTGGAGCTGGCACATTTGCCAGCCCTGTTATAGAAAATCTTGTAATTTCTGGAACTGTAAACTAAAATTTATATACGAAGAAACATTTATGCAGAGTGGAAGTTTTCTTTTATTGAATGTTTTGGCAAAAACATATTTGCCAAAAATGTAGTAATACCATAAAGGAGAATGGGACTGGTACTTAATTGGAAAGAATATCTTTTCAGCATTTCTGTGACTACTTAGATTAATTACTTTGTAAATTATTTAGTAATTCCAGAATATACTTGTTTCTTAAACTTACCAATTGTTTGAATTTTGAAAAACAAATATACAATTTGGAATTTTCACTAATTCTGTTAAACATTTTTCCCTTTGTTATAGTTTGGGAGGTTTACTGTAAAAACACATGACACATAATTGGGTGATGATTTTATTTTATTGAATTTATTTTGAGAAGTGTTATCAGTAGATAGACTTAAATCAAAGCTTGTATAAATACATGCAGTTGAATTGTAAGTTCAGAAATGTTTTCAGTGTTACATTTTATAGATTTCTTATTAAAAGCAATTTAAGCCCTATAATGCCTTTTGGTGCCCCCAAATTTTAATAAATGTAAGTCATTTGTGATATTGACTAATATGGTATATCGGATATTAAATCTAGTGTATATACTTATTCTTCTCAGAGATTCGTCAGCGAACTGCAGCTCAAAGAAACCTTTCTCCAATACCAGCAAACTCTAACCAGGGCCCTCCTTCACAAGTTCCAGTATCTCCTGGACCACCAAAGGACAGTTCAGCCCCTGGTGGACCCCCAGAAAGGACTGTTACTCCAGCTCTCCCATCAAATATGTTACCAAGACATCTTGGATCCCCTGCTACTTCAGTGCCTGGAATGGGTAAACAGAGCACTTAATGTTATTTACAGTTTATATTGTTTTCTCTGGTTACCAATAAAACAGGCCATTTTCAGACAGTATGGAAATGGCATTTCATTTGGAATAGCAGAGCAGTTATCTGATTAAGCAGGAGTTCCGTATTCAATTAGCCATAACTCTTTACAGCTGGCACCTTGTGATACTGAAACCTATTTCTTGAGCTCATTTAACTGTTATGGCTTTTTTGTTTAAATGGCAATAAAACTTTGTAGTATTTTGTAGTCAACAGTATAGCATATCTTTTTATATTCAATTTTAGAATGGCTCCAGATTTATATAAAATAGGGTGAACACACTTTTGGACTGTATTCATGTTTTTTGCTAAACTCTGCACATGTGTTTCAGAAAGGATAGTCCTACATTGTAGTATACAATATTACTTTTGTTAATATAGGCTGGTAGATTCCCCCCCTTCCCCCCTTCTAAGGCATAGAACCGTAGTATTTTCTAATAGATATGTTATAAGGTTATATGAAGTGAATATATTTCCTTTACTATTTTATTTCTTGGATTCTCTTTTTTCACTGTGATAGATCTTTAGGGAAAGATCCAATTCTGGAATATAACAGACTATATTAACCTGTGGTTTCTTTTGGAGTGTGATTGGGACATAAAGTCTGCTGCTTCAGCAGTTCACATTATTTTATGTAGATTTCAATGTCAGATTATTGCATATGACAGCAAATAAATTATTTTGTTTTAGGTTATTTAGTCCTAATTTAGAATACTTTATTATTTCATGACTAATTACTAACATATAAATGATAATGATGTTGAGGCTAGGCTAGTTGATGTCAGGTAATCAGGTCATATATGTAATAAAATCAGTAACATTTTATTATTTATTATGGTAGATTTTTTCCTGTTTTCCTTTAAAAATACATGTTTTTAGAAGACAAAAAACTATTAATTTATAAACAAATGAAGAAAGCTGACTACAAATGAAATGTACAAATCTTGCAACTTTTAAAGTAGCTATTTTAAAAAATACTTTAAGTTTGACACATAGTAACAGCATGATTAGGCAACCATGTATTGTATGAAAGTGAGAAAAGTTAAATTGAAAAATGACTTATTTATCAATAGTTATCTGGTTGATTTGAGATACCAATGACTTATAAATATAAGTTCCTAATGGTTTAATGAAAAAAAATTTTTTTTGTGAGAATGCATGAATCGTATACATTTGTGTATTTGATTTTAAAGAAGTAAAAGTTTAGCAACTTGTAGTAAAAACTGCATTGTACATGTAAGGATAGAGCTGGAGAGGAAACAGCCTAAATTTCATGATCATGTAAATATAAGATATTTTTCTAAGGTTTTTAATTAGTTTCTGTGTGAAAGACTGTGTTTAAATTGTCTATTGCCAAAAATATGAATGAATTAAGTGATTTATTATTGATTTTTTTATTATAACATATTTATGGAAGAGAATCAATTTAATGTGTATTACCACAGGGCTCCCATATGTTTGAAAATTAATAAGCAGCAGGTACTTGATAATTTGCCAAGCTGTGTAAAAATGACCGGTATTCCTACAATGATTGGTTTTGATGTTTATACTAATTACTGTTGTCCATAACAGCATGAGTATGAAGTTCATTATTTTAAAAGTTATTAATATGCAAGAAGTTTAAGATATTTTTATGAAATCTGTTGTATTATGTATCCAGATTCTTTTGCAGAAATGTTCACTTTAAATATGTAGACATAAAATATGCCAGCAAAAGTTAAGTTGGCTTAAATGCTTTCAAAAGCTAATTTTGCTTGCTTATTCAAGTTGAAAATTTGATAATGAGGTATGACAATGTCTGGTTTCAAGTTTATTTTTCAATGATAATAATTGAATGTTGTTAGCATAAGTAAACCAATAACTTACCTGATGAAATCTTAAAAATATACTTGATTTGTAATACTAAGAACTTGTTCCAGAACCTGACTTTTATTTACTATTAACATCTGTAATCTTGAAGTCAGTTGACCTTTTAAGTTTGTGATTATTTACAAAGAAAATCTCTTTTTTCAATTACTTTAAGGTAATATAGTATTGCTGTCCTAAAACAAACTTGAATGCTTTAAAATTTTTGTGATAGTGTAGGAAGGGGTTGAAAAAAGAGAAAAAACATTTTTGTCACAGACATTTTGAAACATACTGTATCTGTGTATTTCAAGGCTTATACCAACAGGGTCCCATTTTGTGTCGGTTTCCCATGAGGTCTCTGTGTAAACCTCTCTTGCTGCCTACTTTATTATGCTTGTTTTACATAGGCAAGCATCATATTTTATTTATTTTCTCACTTTCTTCTCAGTGCCTTCTTCTGTAAACAGTACTCTTTCAGTTTTTTGATGGCAGAGAGCTATAATTCGTGAAGTTTGAGTATGTAACTTTTTTTAACATAAGTTTTAGAATTAAGTAAATTTAGTTAATATGTTATTTTTCCACTCCTTATTAGTCTTTTCTGATGTTGCCTAATTTATATTAGATATACTATATGGAAGACAGTGCATCTTTCTATTCATTTAGGTCAGTGGATCTCACCCTTCCTTATGCTGTGATCCTTTAATAGAGTTCCTCATGTTGTGGTGACCCCCAATCATAAAATTATTTTTGTATTAAAGGGTCACATCATTAAGAAGGTTGAGAACCACTGATTTAGGTCATTAATTTCTTTCAGCAGTGTATCGTAGTGTTCAGTTTATAGGTTTTGAACATTTGGGGGTTAAATTTACATATCATTATTTGATATTTTTGATGCTGTTACAAGGAGCATTGTTTTATTAATGATTTCTAACTGTTAATTTCTAGTAATCTAGAAATACAATTGATTTTCATATATTGATTTTGTATCCTCTAACCTTGCTAACCTCATTGTTTGGTTCTGATTACATAGTATTACATAGACAATCACATGTCTGTGAATAAAGAAAATGCTACTTCCCCTTTTCCAATCTGGTTTCCTTTTATTTCCTTTTCTTACCTTATCACACTAGCTAGAACCTTCAGTACAATGTTGAATAGAAGTAGACCTCCTTGAATAGAAGTAGACCTCCTTGAATAGAAGTAGACCTCCTTGCCTATTTGTTGATCTTAGGGGAAGAGCAATCAGCATTTAGCATGATGTTAACTCTAGTGTTTTTTTTTTAACAAATACTCTTTATCAGTTTGAAGTGCTTGCCTATCCTTAGTTGGCTGGAGTTTTTTTTTTGTTTTTTTTTTTATCAGTAATAGATTATGGATTTTGTCAGGTGCTTTTTCTGTATCTATTGAGATGTTCATATTGGGTTTTATTTATTTTTTGGTTTTAACTTCTGTTTGTATAGTGAATTACATTGATTTTTAAATGTTAAACCAATTTGCTTTCCAGGAATAAATCTCCCTTGGTCATGATGTTTTGCTTTATTTTATTTAATTAATTAATTTATTTTTTGAGACGGAGTCTCACTATGGTCACCCTCAGTAGAGTGCTATGGCATCACAGCTCACAGCAACCTAAAACTCTTGGGCTTAAGCGATTCTCTTGCCTCAGCCCCCAGGTAGCTAGGACTACAGGTGCCTGCCACATTGTCCAGCTATTTTTGTTGTTGTTGTTGTAGTTGTCATTGCTATTTAGCTAGCCTGGGCTGGGCTTGAACCTGCCATTTTTGGTGCATGTGGCTGACACCATCACCAGTGTGCTAAGGGCGTGGAGCTGATGATGTATTATTTTATATGTGTATTGTTGGATTCAGTTTTTGTTAAAAATGTTTACATCAGTGCTTATTAGGGATTTGGTTTGTAGTATTTTTTTTCATTTTTGTGTTTTTGTCTGGTTTTGTTATCAGAGTTATGTTGGCTTCACATTGTAAGTATTCCCTCTTTGATTTTTCTGCACAAATTTGTGTATAAAATGTGTGCACTTGTGTACAATTGGTATTATTTCTTCCTTTATTTAAATATTTAGTAGAATTTACTGGTTGTAACTTCTAGGCCTGGGTTTTTCTTTGCTGTTTTAACTAAAAATTAATTCTTTTTAATTAAGGGAAAACTCTAAATGAATTTCACACAAGATACCAAAATTCTTAATAATTTTAATAAATCAAATAGTTGTCTTTATGTTTTTGAGTGATCCTTTGATAGTCTGGTAGTCTTTCAAGAAATTTGTCCATTTTATCTAACTTGTACAATTTATTGACGTAAAGTCTTTCATAATATTCCCTATTGTCCTTTTAATACTTTTATAATCTGGAATTATGCTGGATCTCTCATTTCTGATATTAGTGTTTTGTATCTTCTTTCTTTTTTCCTGATTAGTCTGAAATTTATTTATCAGTTTTATTGATCTTCTCAAAGAACTAGCTTTTCTCTGTTATTTTTATATTTTCTAATTTATTAATTTCCTCTTTGATCTTTATGTCTTTTATTTTGTTTATTTTGGGTTTTACTTGATCTTTTTAGTTTTGTAAAGTAGAAGCTTAAGTTATAGATTTTCAGCCTATTTCTTTGTAATATAGGTGTTTAGTGTTCTGTATTTTCTTCTAAGTACTGCTTTATTTATTGCCTATTATAAATTTTGATACACTTTTTTCCATTGTCATTCAGTTCAAAACATTTTCTAATTTTCCTTTGAATCCTGAACTATTTAGTTATATGTCATTTAGTCTCCAAATATTTGGAGATTTTTCAGATTTTTTTTATTGCTGAGTTCCAGTTTAATTCTGCTATGGTTAGAAAGCATACTTCTTATTTGAATTCTCTTAAATGTATTAAGGCTTTTTTACGTTCCAGAATGCCATGTCTTGGTATTTTCTGTTTACTTGAACCTGTATTGATGGGGCATTGATTCTAGGACCACCTAGGCAGATACCAACATCCATAGATTATCTTCTTATATAAAATGGTATAGGATTTGCATATAAACTGTGTACATCCTCCTGTGTCCTTTTAAAAAATTTTTTTTTGTTGTTTGTTTAGATAGCATTTCTCTCTGTTGCCTAAGCTAGAATGCAGTGACACCACCATAGCTTCCTACTTCCTCAAACTCCTAGGCTCAAGTAATCTTCCCACCTCACCTTCCTGAGTAGCTGGATTATAGGCATGTGTCACCGTGCCCAGATAATTTTTCTGTTTTTTCTAGAGACAGGGTCTCACTCTTACTCAGACTAGTCCTGAACTCCTGGCCTCTACCATGTTTCCCCGAAAATAAGACACTGTCTTATATTTATTTTTTCTCAAAAAGACACACTAAGGCTTATTTTCAGGGGATATCTTCCTCTCTGTGCCAAAATGTATGGAGTGGCTATGCAAATATGCTGCATAGCCATGCCCATCACTAGGTCTTATTATTGGGGTAGGGCTTATATTTAACAAATGTATGGAAATCCTGCTAGGGCTTATTTTGTGGGTAGGTCTTATTTTCGGGAAACACGGCAGCAATCTTCCCACCTCAAATTCCCAAAGTGCTAGAGTTAATGTGTGAGCCTGCCCACTGTGCCTGCCCCCCTCCTGTGTACTTTAAATTATCTGTAGAGTACTTATAATACCTAATACAATGTAGTCAATTAACTTTTAAGGTGATTTAAAGAATAGAAAATCTCTTATATATTTACCTACATAACTGTTTCAAATAGAGATACCTTTGTGTAGCTCCTGTTGTCTGCAGTCACTTTCATTCTGCCTAAAGGATTTATTTTAACATTTCTTACAGTACGTGCAATTCTGCTAGTGATGAATTCTTTTAGTTTTTGTATATTTGAAAAGTCTTAATTTAATAAAAGATGCTTACACTGGATACAGAATTCTTATCTGACAGTTTTTTTTCTTTCCAAATTTTAAAGATACTGTTTTACTTTCTTGTGACTTTGATTTTTTTTTCTGATGAGAAGTCTGCTGCCATTCTTATCTCTGTTTCTCTATACTTATATCTTTTTTGGCTGCTAAAAGTAGATTTTCTCTTTATCACTGATTTTAAGCAACTTGATAATTTTTGGGGAGGGGAAATTATGTCTTTTATGCTTGCGATTTGTTGGTATTTTTGGATCTGTGGTTTTATGGCTTTCATCAAATGTGGAAAATTTTATACATTATTGCTTCAAATATATTTTTCTTTTCCTTCATTTCTCTGCTTTATGCACTCCAATTGCGTATATATGAGGCTGCTTGACATTGTTCCATGACTTGCTGATGATTAAAATATTTGTAATCTTTTCTCTGTTTTGTTTTGTTTCTATTCATATATATCTTCAAGTTCATGAGTACTTGTTTTCTGCAATGTCTAACTGCTATTCACATCATCTTGATTTTTCATTTTAGACAGTCTATTTTGAACTATAGGAGTTCAATTTGGGTTTCTTCTTTAAAAATTTTTCCATGTCTCTACTTAGTATATTGAATCTTTCCTCTAGATTCTCAAAGCACATGAAATATAGTTATAATAAATATTTTAAAATCTTTATCTACTGATGCAATTATTACTGTCATTTCTGGGTCAGTTTTAATTGCTTTTTCTTATTATGGGTAGTATTGTCCTATATTAATATGTCTAGTAATTTTTTATCTAATGCCAGACATTATGAATTACACTGTTTTTGTTTTT